GCTTTTAAGTCCTGTCTTAATAAGACGTAAGTCATTAGCGTGCCAACATAGATATTTTCATGGAAGTGTCAATTGTATCTGGATATTTATACTTATGATATAGGTAAGATGTCTACTAGACGATAGATGCTTTTGCAGACAATTTTTCAAAGTCCCAGCTATTACTGAGAGAAATCGAGGCGTATGATTGAATAGCTGATGGATGCGATCAAGCGAATAATATGTAGGCATATTTTATTTACTATTAATAACATGTAATCTATAAGACTAAAATATTTATGATTTAAGTAAATTACATTCTACCGTATTACATAATAATTGATTAAAAGGAAAACTTATCGTCCAATGGTGCCTTAATTTTTTTTTTGTTATTACTGCACTTGTTTTGGTCATATTCACAGACAGTCAAGGTGAACGGGTACTAGAGTTTTGCTTCTCTTTACACCCTTGGGGTTTTCCCTCAAGGTCAAAATCAATATTAAATAAATTCCATTTCAATTCATTAGTGTAAACAAATTAAGGGTGATAGCTCATTATAAATAGTGATCATAATTTGATATAATTTTTAGTGTTCCGCTAATTTTTTATATAATAATTTCTCACAGTTTGTTTATATATAATTTCACGGGTAAGACAAAAATGTAAATGCACAACAATAGGGCTCGTTACGAATCAGTTTTCTAAAAAAAAAATGAACCTATCGGTTACTTTATGCCACGTAGTTTGTGCACTGTTCGGCATTCATTCGATGTGCTTTCCAGAAATATGAGTCGAAGATAATATAGGTGACAGGAATTGAATATTTAAATATAAATAATTAATTCCTAATATGTTAGCAAATAATTAAATTTCAATTAGTGACTGCTCTTATCGCATAGTAGTCTAGATTCCATTTTCTCGACTTTTCATACTCACGTTTTTCTTTCTTAAGAGTGTTATAAGTTTGCAGTATAAAAATTATGTCTATCTGTGGTGTTATATTTTATAAAAATAATTTAATAAACATACATTTTCATAAAGAACATCTAGCTATTCATCTTTACGAATTGATAATTTGCAACTTTTTTTGAGGTGATCGCTTCATTAATAGTAGAGTATCCTACATTGTTCGCTTTAATGGAATTCGTTATTCGGGTACACATGGGGCTTATCCTAATTAATGCATAGAATCCTATTATTTTTTCTATGAGCATATGTATTTTATATGGACAATGGACAATAGCGTGGGTGCAACCCACGCTAGTAAAAGACAAAGAAATGTAGGAAATAATTATATTAATTACACTTTATTTGCGTTATCATGCAGTAGCGCCTCTAATAAATGGAGATTAAGGTTCTCTTCTATTATTATAAATAACGAATAATAAAGAATAACAGTTTTTTATTTTAATCTAATATCATTGAACTAAATTATTTATTTTTATATTTTACTATACATGCGAATTATATATACTTAGTGATGGAAAACAAATATATATATATATATATATATATATATATATATATATATATATATATATATAGGCGAGTTTTGTAAGAGTTTTCTTATAGCAAATCCTAAGAGAAAAGAAACACTAATGTTAGTGAATAATATAGCATATAATATTTGACAAATAAAAAAATAGATAAATTATTAATATAGTTATATTATGTATCTATCATTGAAACTATAAATTTAGGCTGGCATCTATCAAGTTAACGATAAATTAAAGGGCAAGGTCGGGAATACCCAAACCGACCGTGACTAAATGTGTGGGAGTGGTAGCACAAAAATAGTCTGAGACTATGTCATTTATCCAAATACCTCTACGAGATGGGGGTGAAGTTGTTAAGGTAGGCGGGTTTAGCTACTATACTGAATAAATTGTCGATAGCTATTGGACTTTGATTTGTTGGATTCATTGTCTGAAATACTGTTCTTTATATCTTAAATATTCATGGTAGAATAAACAAAGTTATATACTCGTATAGAATATTTAAAATAGAGCATACAGCCAGCATGAAAAGCTGACTTTTAAAACCACTAAATATAAAAAAAAAAAACCAGCTAACTTATAGGACATTTGTATGTTTTGATATTACTATTTTGATGTATAATATTAATATTAGTGAAATATTTATTGACTTGACATTTAAAGACATGTTTTTAAACATTGGAAAATACGTGTTTCTCGCCCCGTCCAATATCCCACAGTCGTGAATATATAAATTTATTAACAACATCGAAAACGCTCTACATTACATATTGTCAGATATATTATTATTTTAAATGTACCTATTGAAATAAACCAGTTTATGATACTTAAGTCACATTCTTCACATTTTTAGCTCTCTGATCCAGTTATGTATTCACTTATAAAAAATCAACCAAGCTAAAAAATAAGTCAAGACAAAGCTAAGCAATAAAGAATTGTGAAGTTTTTAACTTTAATGTATGTAGGGGTATTATAGATAGTGTCTTTTAGTTGCCTGTAACGACATGACGGATAACGATAAAGGAGCTGTAATAATGATCTAATATTATCGTGAGTGCTATAGTCTTTATAACTTCATGTAAAATGCAAGATGGCAGATATAAAAGGAAAAATTTAATAATACTATATAAAAATCTTACTAACAGAATAAATTTGTAACTAAGCGATGTTTGTTCATGGGTGATATTTAAAAAAAAATATGTTTTTTTTTACAACACGGGGGCAAACGAGCATGCGGCTCACCTGATGGTAAGTGACTACCGCCGCCCATGATCACCCACAACACCAGCGGCATTGCAGGTGTGCTGCCGGCCTTTTAAAAAGGAATATGCTCTTTTCTTGAAGGTTATGTCGTCGTATCGGTTCGAAAATACTGCTGCTGGAAGTTGATTCCAAACAGTGGTTGTGCGTGGAAGAAAGTGCCTACTAAACAAATTGTGGCCATAAATTACAATGATATACAGAAAGGTCATCTACCTTTTTGTATATTATTGTAATCTGTGGTCTATGTTATGGTAACTCTAGGGATTAATTTACTATTTATTACTAGTCTGTTTCAGTAGGACTTAATGAAAATATAAACAAAAGAATTATTAATCCGACAGTAAAACAGTTTGCTGATATTCAATAATACTTAAATCATATCAGATAAGTCGATTGAATGTTTCGATTTGTTATTAATTTTATTGGTTATTTTTTTCATTACGTCTATTGAAATAAACTATTTCTTATTTATTTATACTTAATTTTACATACTAATAGTACATAAAAATATAACAGAGGTTAATAAATGTACAAAGGTGAGTTTAAAAGAGTTCTCTTTTAGCAAAGCTAAAGTGAAATGGAGCATCAATGTCAGTGGCTAAAGCGGTGTACAATAATGTGAAAATTAAAAAAAAAAGAAATTAAGTTTATACATAGCTAATTGTATCATATTTATATATATTGTATATATATATATATATATATATATATATATATATATAAATATCTTATTAAAACATACATACATATCTGTCACGCCTGTTTCCCATTAGGGTAGGCAGAAACAATGGAACGCCAAATGCTTCGATTCAAACAAACCTCTTTCGCTTCTTCCACATTCATCAATCTTTTCATACACGCTCGCCGGTTACGGGTGCTTTTAATTTGGCTCTTCTTCAGCACGTCGCCTATTTGGTAAAACTTATTAAAACAAATACATTGATTAGCGATGTATACTTAGGACACGATGGGTAGCTGTAGTTAGTGTGTGTAAATGTTTGATATGTACGGTAGGATTTTTCCTAGCAACAGCCATAAAGACCGAACAATATATGTTGATCTGGCATTTATGTTATTTCCTGTCAATCACCGTAATTCCGTTTGAGGTTTTTTGTTGACCTCCTTGGCAGAATTGGAGAACTATTAATTTTTATGAATAAGGGCCCGGATTTAATTCTTATATAGAACATTTTTATTATCTTTTTTTCTATACAATTTTTAATGGATGAAATTGGTATGCGAGTGCTGATAGGCGAGGACAAAGCCCGGTCAGTTGAATCATCTCGAGAAATTTATCAAGAATCAACCATTATAGTTTTTAGGGAGGACCACGAATTAATAGTGCATAAGTTATTTTATGTTTTTATATTTTTACTTAATTTCTCATGATACCAGGCATATTAGTTATTCCTTGAAATTATTATTTTTAAAACTTATTGTACATATGTATGTTTATGTTTTTAAACGTATGCCCCTTGAAGAATTCTTCCCCTTCTTCTGGATGAAGTAGAAACAACTATCGATAACGACAAATGTAGTATTTATATAGATCATGCAATTATTATGATTGTTTGTCACTTTTATTTTTGATTATTATCTCAATAATAACATATATAATACATACTCGTGTAATATACAAAAAATTTTTGTGTACAAAAATACATTCCGCAAAAAAAAAATTACACACAAGCCTATAGTAATTACGAACCTTGGTATCTATTTACGACGCAGCAATTATTTTGGTCGGTCGATGACTTTATACAATTTGTCTCGTTTACCGTAGTAAATCTTGTTTTTTTTTGGTGTTGAAAATCCCTTAACTAGGCTTCACCAGTTATGTGAGAGAAAAAAAATAATACATCCTCTTTATTTTGGAGATTTCCGTATTTTTTTCGGATTTGATTCCGAGAATTGTGTATTTATTACGTATTAAAAGTGTTCTGTTATAATTTTTAATATACGCTTAATATTTTTCAACATAATAATACCAAAAATAACATTATTACGATTATTTTATACATAAACCGATTTTATATATAAACCAAGAGTAAAGTAGTAGATTATACGAATAAATCTGTATTTTATCACTTTTAGTTTTTTATTATCTAGAACTTTATTTTAGAGTCACATAAATTACTAACTCAGACTTAGGGAAATTGTTTTTATTACTGTTACTGTTATGTTATATTTTATTATAGTAATAGGGATATTAAAAGCAAAGGCCGACAAGTATACTAAAACTCGTTCTTTTTGTTGTTACAGGTAATGTGATGCCGTCATTACTTTGGCAACTATGGAGACTGATTACGAGGATATTCTGATGCTAAATATTTCAAACGCTACGGCCCACGCGGCCGCGTACGCCGAACCTGACTCTTTGAATCTCTTAGTGCCTGTGAGCATCGCGTACAGCATCATCTTTACCGCTGGCATTTTGGGAAACATCAGTACATGCGTCGTCATTGCGAGGAACCGGTCGATGCACACAGCTACGAACTTTTACTTATTTAGCCTCGCAATTTCCGATCTTATACTCCTTATTTGCGGGTTGCCTATCGAACTGCACCGCATATGGCATCCGTTTACGTACCCGCTGGGTGAGCCGCATTGCATCGCACTGGGCTTAGCATCAGAGACATCAGCTAATGCTACTGTGTTGACTATAACAGCGTTTACAGTTGAGCGATATATAGCGATATGTCGACCGTTCATGTCGCATACAATGTCCAAGTTGTCACGAGTGGTCCGTTTCATTTTTGTGATTTGGGTGTGTGCGTTGTGTACTGCAGTGCCGCAAGCTATGCAGTTCGGGATTGTGACGGATGTCGATAATATACAAAACACTAGTGTATGTACAGTCAAAGGTGAAGGTGTACATCAAGTGTTCGTAATTTCGAGTTTTGTATTTTTCGTAGTGCCAATGTCTGTGATTTGTGTGCTCTACGCGTTAATAGGGATCAAGTTACGGACTTCTACTGTTTTGAAGGTGAAAAAACCATCTGTGGAAAGTCAAGAGCGGTGCTCCACTGGCACTAGCACCCGATATAAAAATGGAACAGCCCAAGGACGAGTTATTAGAATGTTAGGTGGGTGGACTAAATTGCACAACAACAATATTATTTTCTATTCGGTGCGATACAAATCTGTTATTTTCAGTTTTATATTTGATACATATTCATATTAATATCTTATATATTTTGATATATATTAAAATATTATATCTGATATATTTTAGTTTATGCAAACGAAGTCGGAGGACACGTGGACAGCTATTATAAAAAAATATATTTTCATTATCTACATATTTTTTAAAAATTCTAATATAATCCATCTGTATTGTTACTTATCTTCTTGTATATACATCACAGAAATTCGTTGTCCAACTCATAGATTTGGATATTTATAAGCTCATATCGAAACAACTATTTTTCATATAGTTTTGTATCAGTAATACCATAAATTATATGATAAATAAATAGGTATCCTGAATATTTTATTTATTATTTATTTATTTTTATTTATTATTGAAACTAATTATAACTGACCTTATATCAATCGAATATCTATCTCTTTATAGGTAGAATTCAATTTGTTACCAGTACGTAAATTTACTCATGTTTTAAATATACTGATACTAAATTTTTGTGTTAAAAATTTACAAATGGCGACAAACTTTTGTGCTCCCATACTTGTGCTAACTTAACAGTTAGACGCGCTGTATTAAAAATGGGAGGTTCAAAATTTTTTGTCGATTATGCTCCTTTGATAAAAATAGCCAGTTTCATAGTTAGAAGAATACTAGTAATTTCCATATTAGCTTGTATATGAAGTGACGATATGTCTACTGTTTATCGGGAGATAAAAATGTGCATGACATTCAATGTCCGAGCTGAAGGAAGCCTCAATTCAAAAAGGATTTGGGATTTGTATTTCCTTGTAATCGAGTGAATTTTAATGAATGAAATTTATCTTTATATGAAATTAAGTATAATATTTCATATAAAGTAAATAATTATGTAATTTTATAATAATTCAACGGAATATGGAATTGTAAAGCATTAAATATATTTAGGTAAATAAAGTCTTGATAAAGTTAAGATCCATATAAAGCAGACTATTTCAACTATGAAGTTCTTTGTTGTTATTCTATTGACATTACAAACGGGCTTAATTTATGATATTTTATGAACGAACCAATGTAGTAACTACGACTTCATTTGTAGAATAAAATTTATTTTCAACTCTAGTTCTTTGATTAGATTCTATTGTACTGGATTCACAATGGCTATTTAAGTTTCACGTCGATATTTCAAAAAATCTTAAGTACCGTCTTAATGAATTCCTAGGACACTGTGTATATGTGTAAACAATACAGTACCTAAAGCCTACGATAACAGATTGCGGATTATATTAAATGGAGACAAATCTCACAAATATGTTCGTAGTAACTGTTTTATTTCCTTGGTTGTTTAAGAATATTTCTCAACTTTCGATGGTTGCAGGTATATATATATATATATATTGTAACGGATTTTGTCTTAATTTGTATCGACGAATAGAGTGTTCGTTGGAAAAAATTAACTTTCTTAGTGTGTTACTTTATGGTTTTCTAATACAAAAACTCATTAAATGTGAAACAGATAGTACCTATTTTAAAGAAACGACTGCTCATGTAATCTTAAATTTGTAGCTGTCACCTCTTAATGTTTAGAAATCCTTTGATACCAGTGTGCGCCGCCTCTGAATATACTAGAAACATTTTGTGCTTATGGACGGAGCTTGACTGGCTGCACAAGCCAAATGTAAGACTATTGCGGAAATAAGCGTCCAATTTACATTACATTATATTACCTATTTACAACATAGAAGAACTATGTATGTCTTTGTTCATTGTAAATAAATGTAATAAAAAAATAAATGTCTGTCTAAAAGTTTTTATGGCGCTTTCGACCTATATGAAGGCTAGCCATATGGTTTATCGGACACGAAATTCGAAGCAAGTTACACTTTAGTAATATTGTAAATATGAAAATTCGTAAAGAACTTTGGGTGTCTGTTATTTCTGTTAATCATGCTTAAACAGATGAATGGATTTAAATGAAATTTGGTACACGAGTAGACTATGTCCTAACATAGATGATACTTTATATATATATATATATATATATATATATATATATATATATATATATATATATATATATATATATATATATATATATATATATATATATATTCTTTATGGCACTTGATCAATACATATAACGATTAGTTTAACAACTTGTTAGAAAGGGAGGGCTTATCTCTAAAAAAGATCTCTTCCAGCCAACCCAGTGTAATTAGAGAGATTCACGCAGATAAAATAAAGGAATATAGTTAATTTAAAATATTTGAATGTAGAATGCATTCCACATTCAAATATAATAAATTTGTGTATAAATAGAATTTACTTCATATAATAGGCAGGATTTCGTTTCGCAAGAAAAAAAACTCACACGCACAACTGTATTAGAAATAAAACAGATACTAATTATTGATTGCAACAAAATAATTTTATTTAAAATTTCTATTGTACTTTGACAGATATCTGACTATAATAAAATTTATTAAATGTCAACACTCATCAAAATCTGCTTGGTGACTTAGGTACTCACAATAATATGTAAGGACTTTTTTGGAAATATCGAGGAAAATAGAAGGCATTAAAAGAAGCCACAAAATTTCGAATATAATTTTTATATTACGTATAAAAATAAAAACTGAACGTTGGTATTTTGTTTCTATATTTATAACAAAGAACAAAGCTTACAAAATGACGGAAAATATCAAACAATTTCAGAAACTACGTGTTCCAAATATCCATGAGCTATAAATTAAATATAGAATATAAATAATTTAGTTTGGTTTGCTGTAGTCGGAAACTATAATTTCCTACTGTCGGTATAGCAACAAAAAATATACACCAAGTTTGGTTTAGTTGCAAAAAATATTAAGTATTTTCGAGTAACACTTTAATCCACTTGCGATCCACAAAATTACATTATCCGAGATGCCGATATGGTAAACAACTTTCTAAACTTTTTTTTAACCGAATCGAATAAGCTAGGTAAATTTGAATCAATTTTGATAATCCTGTTTGGAATTGATAGGTCTAGTTATAGTGGTTATTTCCATATTAATTATATTATTACTCATAATTATGAATAAAGTACGCAAAGAAGCCATTTTAATTAAAATGGCACATATACATAAATAAAAAAAAAAATTAAATATGTAACTTTTTAAACTGTTGTGTTTTTTTAAATGATGTCTATATGTATGTATAACAACTGTTAATATTAAACATAAAGATAATTATGTTTCTTTCTTTTACTGTTTTTTTTTTTTTTGTAAAGAGTAGGTAGTAATTTATCGTAATAATATTGTGCATTTCAACGCTTTGTGATGACAGAAACATCGTGTAAATCACAACTGTTTCTATTTCTGATTTACTGATGGCGAATTTATTCGTTTTTAAATGGTAGCATTTTTTTTTTACAGAAATGTGAATCGTAAAAATATCTCTTATATTGTTATATTGATTTCCTTTAAATTTTTTCACTGATAAGTACATTCTTATTAAAAGTTAGTTTAAATAACAATTAATACAAGTTTAGAGTTGCAGACAACCTCACATGCAGTTATTTAGGGGAGAGTGGGGGAATTGAGAACGGTGGGTAATTGGGAACAGCTAGGTAAATAATACTTCCCCCCACATTACACCATCCCGCGCTTGTTCAACGGACGCATCCAGCGCCCCTCAGTGTACACCAAATAGTAAGAGTGAAAGGCCACATGTACGCTGTCACGGTAAGTCGAACAATGTTTTTTGCATTTCTTTTATAATTTTTGTCGTGTCTTATAATAGGTGTAACTATCATATTTTTTAATTCAAAGGCACCATATTTTGTTATTATCATGCATGTACTATCTGCTTCCAAACCCTACGTGATTGAAGGTTATCAAAAATACTATTGAGGATGGCGGCCATTTTGATATATATTGACTAATTTGGGCAATTGGGAATGGCATCAGGCGGGTAATTGGGAACGTTTTCAATTACCTCTCGCGTTCTTAGTTTACCCCTAGTACTGCTGGTTAATTATGTAAAAATGTTTTAACTTTAAAAATTGTTTTAGATGCCTCGAAACTATATACGAAAGACTGAATCGAAATACAAAATTGAAGATCTTCGCCATGCAGTTGAAGATGTTAGAAGTAAGAAGCTCACATTAGGCCAAGCTGCTACCAAATATTCAATACCAAAATCAACATTATTCAAACAATTAAAACAAAACAAAGTCAAGACACTAAAAAAAGGTCGATCTGCTGTATTTAATAGAGAACAAGAAGACCAGCTAGAAAAATATATACTTGATTGCTGCAAGACTTTTTATGGAATAACACCAACTTCATTACGTAGAATTGTTTTTCGATTTGCTGAAGCTAATTCTTAAAAAAGCTGAAACACAATTTTAACAAAGAAACCGAAGATAGCATACAATAAGGAATGTGCATTGTACATGGTTAACAATCCTGGGAAACGAATAATCCAATACGAGGTTGGAGAACTTTTTACAAAGGCGTACAATAAAACAGCTAACATAAGCAAGGCTGTCAGTGGATTTAGAGCCGCTGGAATTTATCCTATTAATCCTGACAAATTTAAAGACATCTTTGAGAATACGACATCTAATCAATCCTACATCAGTCAGATTCAAGAATGCGATGCTCATAAAACTACAGCTGAGCAAAGTTTAAATTTATCCGATAACACTGTCAGTCAAAGTAAAACTCCTTCTCCATCCACTTCTGTGCCTCTTACCGAAATCATTAATATGCCTATCATACCTAAAACAAGAACCACTTCTGTGCGACAGAATAAGAGACATTCTCAAATTTTATCCAGCTCACCGATAAAAATTGAACTTGAGGGAAAGCAGAAAAAAACAAAATGAGAGAAAAGCTAAAAAAGAAAAAGTTCCGAATAAAACACTATAAAAGAACATTAAAACCATAAAAAAAAATCTAAGAGTCAAGGGTAAAGGAGGGAAAAATTTAAAGAAGGCTTTGCAAGAAAATAAGTTCGAAGAAGAGTTTTTTGTATAATGTGCAACGAAAAATATGAATCTCCGCCGACAGAGGATTGGATTATGTGCGTCATCTGTAAATTCTGGGCACATGAAAAATGTACTGCTGGCGAGACTCTAGGGTACGTGTGTGATATGCGCCAACCAAAAAAACTATAGTTTATTATAAAGATTTAATTGTGTCGTTTCTAATTACCCCATACCGTTCCCATTTACCCTTCGGGATGATCTCAATTACCCCATAGGGTATCGGGTAAAAAGAAACGACAACGTTTTTTGTTTTCGTTAAAATTTCTAATGAAACGTTGATTCTTGAGAGTTTTTCTGTAACTGATAAGTAGATAGATAAGTAAAGTTTATATTGTAATAAAAGTTGCTATATCTAAGACTTTTTTCTATTATTTTTGGACGTTGGAAGTTAAGTGTTCCCAATTCCCCCACTTTCCCCTATAGTTCGTGTCAATGGAATTTAAAGTAAATGTCAATTTATAATTGAACGTTCTATAAGACAGTTTATTGATGTCTAATAGTAGTAAAAAAAAGCGATTGAATATTTTGATCCCTTACTAATTTTATTTAGAGAGTGTTCTTGTAATAATTACAACAAAATTTGATTAAATTTTCATTAGGTTTTATTAAAATAGTATATGTGAATAAAGATCGTGTACAGCGTCGTTGCTTTATGAGATAAAATAGAAATAATATATCAATGGTAATTGAAACGTATTACAAGAATTAGACTTTATGATATTTGAAGAAATATTTTTTCTAACCTAGTGTATTCTAATTTATAATCTGTAAAATACAAGTTACAAATATAATAAATTTTCTAATTTATTCGTTAGTAGTGACAGTCGTTTAATATCATAAATTTAGCAGACAGATTTATGATATCATATCACAAATCTGTCCTATGTCTATCTGCTATTTTCCTGTGAATGATGCAACTTATTTAAATAATGCATGATTACGGTCCGGAGATACCACGATTGTTCAATCTTAATTATTTAATCCTCATAATTTTTTTATTTATGTCTGGATCATTGTTTATTTGTAATTCAAAAACTTTTCAAATGATTTTATAAATTCTTTGACCTATAGAAATATAATTTAAATATAAATTTCGAAAATGTTATCCATATGAAGCCGATGCGAATCGCTACTTTTTAAATAATTTTCACTTTTTTTGTTCTTCAAAGGATACGTAATAATTTATAACGTAAGCGGCCTAGTAGCTGTTGGCATTAGAGAATGACCAATTTACACTAGTATCTGTCAAAATATTAAGTCAACGTGAAACTATAATTTAATATTCTATAGATAAAATTGTCTTTTACTATGTAGACTAATTAACGACAACTTAAGTAAATAAGAAAGCAATTGCATTAAAATACATAATAATAAATATAGAAGCGACTATGCAAATATCATGTTTCACATTTACCAGACGGCCCACCTGATAAAGGGAAAATTGCCATCTATAGACACAGGGCAAACACAACTTCAGAGGGAGAAGTTGTGTTTGCATGGTTGTGTTTCGGTTTGAAGGATGCAATATGGCGTGAATTTACAGGGTACAGAGGAATAACACCTAAGTTCTCAGAAATGGCAACGCATGGGTAGGTATCATGGGCGAAACAATCCATGGTACTGCTCATGTCTATAGGCGACGGTTACCACTTTCCATCAGGTGGGCCGTCAGTTTTGCCAATTTGAGTTGTATAAAAAAAAACTGTAAAGCTCGTAGTGTCCACGTTTTACCATTTTTGAGTACCATCGTGTCATATCATGTTCTATAATTTTACTGTAAATTAATGTAGATACTACGTAGGCAAATATGTACGGTTAGTTAATGCCAATGGCTCTTTCCACACTTACGAGTATACTCGCAATATAATTTTATATTTTGCACACACACATATATATATATATATATATATATATATATATATATATATATATATATATATATATTTTTTTAATATCGTGGAGAAAATTTTAAAGATTTGTGTCTGTTATCTAGTGGCTGTGGCGCTCTCATTTTTCATCTGCTGGGCTCCATTCCACGTTCAGAGACTGCTCGCCATCTACGGGAAGCGGCTGAACACACCGTCTGAAACATTTTATCTGGTAATTATGTGATCTTTATATACTTAAATTTAAGAACAACCGAACTGACATGTATGTATTTTAGTTGAGAATGTTAGAATAGTTTAATATAATGTGTACTTACGAAACTTTTAACAATAAATTCTTCATATTATTATAATTGTAACTATTTATAATTTGTTTCAATGGAACTCGAAACAATCGGAAAAATCCATTAATTTATTCAATTTTAAGTACTACTATGAGAGTGTTTTATATTCGGATCGATTATTTGTTTATATTTTCGTTATTTTATATTGAAACAGACTACAGTATGATTCGTTATGTATAGGCCTATGTAGACAACGAACAAAAATGTCTCTTATTGATTCGTATTGTTACAAAACGTGTGCGTTGGTCCATGCAATTTTAAGGATTTTATTATTATTCTCGTTATGAACTTTTCATCGGATAAGACATCGACTTTTTGCCATTCTAAGTATCATAAAAATAATAATAAAATATGTACTGATATTTGTTTCTTGTAGATTTTAAAAATCTGGGAAGACGAGTTAAATATTTATTCAAAATTTGAAATTTTGTACTGTATTAAAATTGTCTGCGCAAACCTTTTTTTTATATATTTAGATAATATCCATATCTTATGGTTTTGCCTCGTAAATAAGAATAAAAAGTATCCTATCTGTTAATCTTTTTAGCTGTTTAAGTATAGTAGTCTATAGTTTAAGCGTGATAGTCTAACAATAATTCATGCATATTTATAAACTTTCACAGGAGTTAGGATTAAAAAATATCATATAATATAGTCTGTGATTTTCGTCGTGTGGTCCCAACATAAAATGGGCTACCCCTTCCTTTCTCGTAGGTATTGTAAGAGGGCACTAAGGGAGCTTAATGGTCGAGGGACGGGCAGCAGCTTTCCTTTAAAAAAATTATCAAAGCCTAACTGCGGTTGCCAATTCGTCTGCCAAGCGTGGCAATTACTGGCAAAACTTCCTAATAGAGGGAGGCCTATATTCAGCAGTAGGCAGTTAACGGCTGATATGATGATAATGATGGCCTGTGATCAAGTAACAAACATCTTAACAAAATTTCACATGTACAATATTTGAAAAGTAAACAACATCTTACAATGAAGTAATTACTAACCCAAATTACACAAGTACATTCACAATTAGGGGTGTAACTCAACTTCAGCTGGGGCAGCTACAATTAAGGAAACTTTTCCGACTTCAGAATAGGTTAATGTATAATGCATTATTATGTCGCCGTCATTTTGTATAATTCGCCCGTTTACGAATGATATCGTTAAATTATAAACGGCCACTTGTTTTTTACAATGGCAAAAACAAACTGTTGATACATTAGATTTTGTTAATTTAAGCACAATTTTTAAAAGAGAGACCTTGATCTAAGGTGAAATTTGTACCTTTTTTTATTCTTACAAATAATGTTTTTAAGGGGTAAAAAAATAATAAAACTTATTTACTATTCAGTACGGTTTACAGCGAGTCACTTCACCTTTTAATACGATACGATAGCAACTTTTTCCTTGATTTGCCTGATGCACCTGTGCTTTGGTCTCTCCCTTCCTCCCCTTCCTTCTATCTTCTATTATGATGCTCATAAATTCATCGTGACGTATCAAGTATCCCAATATTTTCTCTTTTCTGATTTAAATAGTTTTTATATTTCGTCTTTTTTTCCTCAACTTTATGTATCATAGTAGAAAATAACTAAAAGATAGTCCGTCATAAAAATTAATGTCTCAAATTTTACAGTATACATACAACTCTATTTAAACAACAATAATACTAGACATAAACACAAACTTGCTGTCCCGGGGTGTCGCTTCGATTTTGGAAAAGGAAATTAAATTTTAAATTGAAATACCAAAGGGCGTAATCGTATCTACGTTTCAATAAATTCAAAAGTTCTATATGAAACATTAAACTTCGATTGTGATATCGTTTTATAAAGAAAAGAAAATTGATAAGGGAGGGAATTTCTGAAAATCCTACGTTACTTGCTTACCTACATGATAAAAGGAACCTATATTAAATGTCGTGTATTTGATAAAGTGATTTTTATACTATAAAATGAGAGTGGTAAATAAGCTAAGAGCCCACCTGATGGACAGTGATAACCTATAGACATAAATAACATTATAAATATCACAGAGTACAATATACCGCCCACAGTATCCTGGGTGCATTGTAATTCCTGAGGATTAAGGTGTTATCTCACCCCGGCCACTTCATACAAAAGCAAATGACGTTTGTACATGGACCATTGTGTGTATGCTTTGAATGTGGTGCGTTCTTTTTTAAATGATATTTGAGTCACAGAGAGGGAGTGATGTCAATTTGAGAAAGAGACAGGGACTGTCTATAAATTTAAATTAGTATTGTGCCGGTAAAACTGAACATTTTGCTCATGAACTGAAAAACGAAAAAAATTTTGAATCTTCCATATCTATACTAATATTATACAGGAAAAATTTGTTTGTTTGTAATGGACAAACTTAAAAATTACTCAACCAATTATAAATTCTTTTTTCTACATAAAGCCACATTATCAATGAATAACATAGGCTTATATTACTTCGGAAAAATTAATGTATTGTTATTTACCCTTGCGTAGCCGGGCTGGATTGCTAGTTGACTAATTTAGTGCGTCCAGCTCTCAGTTGATTTAAAAAAAAAATTAAGTTAATTTTTGTCGTTTTTCGATTCTTGTTCCTTTGGGAAAAATCTTCAGTTTCACTACTAGAGTTTATTTATTTACACTTTATTGCACTATTTATAAAAATATTAAATACAGTTAATTATTTTATTATTTCTTATGAAGTGATAAAAAAGGCGGCCTTATTGCTAAGCAATTCTTTCCAGTTATTACTTAAAAGTATGTTAATGATTTCGATTTCATCTTGTATACTTATTTGAATATTTATTTGCAGGCGTACATCGTGCTGACCTGGTTGTCCGGGATACTCTACTTCTTGTCGACTGCTATCAACCCGTTCCTATACAGCATTATGTCAAATAAGTTTAGAAACGCTTTCAAGGTTAGTGCTTTACTATATCTAATATTTAATTAGGTAGATAAGAAATAGAAAATTTCATGTTAAAAAAATGTGTTTTTTGCTAGATACTTCATTGTAGAAAAATAAACTAGAGGGAGATTTTGTATATAACTTGTCTGCTTGAGTAATTCAGTCCCACTCGTGTTTCTGCCGTGAAACAGCGGTGTTTCTTATGACTGTCTCTAGATATAAAAAATGGAATATGATAAAAAAATTATAGGGCATGGAGGTATAGATTTATAATCTTAAATAACAACATATGGAGAGTATTAACAATATCACTGAATATCTGTTATATCTATAGACGACTGGTAGTTACCACTTTCGATCAGGTAGGCCGTTAATTTGTTTGCTATATCCTAAATGCATGAAAAACATTACTGAACATTTCAAAAAGGAGATTTTCATTTAAAGATTTATATATTAAAAATAAAATTTTATTTATAAATCAAGTTATTAAACATTTATCACATATAAGTTAAGTGTAGATGCAGTATCAAAAAATGTTGTATTGAAAGTATTCAGCATTAAAAGCTGTAAGATTTAATAAGATGTCTAAATCACAAAGCCCCGAGGCTCTTCCTATATTAATATAAATGAATGCATCCAATAAAAGATCTCAGGAAAAAACAATTAGGTGTAGATTATATAAATTGTCTACTCATTGCATTAAAGGGTCCTCCTGGCTAAGCGCGCGTCATATTGTCGTGAGATATTGTCAATTTTATAACCTACTATTATCTTGTTATATAATAATTATTAAATTGTTCCAAAACGTAAAATAATTAATTATAAGTAAACTTTTGTTAATTTAAATTCATCATATCAGCCTTTAACTGTCCTTTGCCTTTTTTTGCATAAGCCTGATTGAAGAAAAAAGAATGATTATTATTTTTATTCAATTCAAATTATTATAAGTAACAAAAAGAGTTTTCATGTATTAACATACTGCCCGCGGTAGAAAGTAATAGAAAATAATAATAATAATAATAATAATAAAGCCTTTTATTTATTTCCATATTCCTAATATATATACAGTATTGTTAGTATCTAATCTATTTTATATTTTTTCTTAATAACTAATTGTTAGTGTAATTTTTTCTTCGATTCTTGGATATGGACCCCTCTTTGGGTGAAGGCCTCCTCCATCTTTCTCCACAACTCTCTGTTTCTGCCTATCATAAACCAGTCTTTTCCTGTATATTCTAATATATCATCAGTCCACCGTCTTATTGGTCTACCAACGTTCCTCTTACCTCGTGGTCCTGTCCATTTCGTACTTTGAAACGTCCATCTATTATCAGTAAATCGTGAGATGTGACCCGCCCATTGCCATTTTATACGTAGAGCATGTGTGACTGCATCTGTTAATTTAGTTTTTTGTCTGATTTTTTCATTTTTAATTTTATGTATTTTTCTTAATCCTAATATACTTCTTTCCATAGCTCTTTGTGTTGTTGTAATTTTTTGTTTAACTTTCTTTGTAAAAATCCATGTTTGGCTAGCATATAATAAGCAAGGCAAAAGACAAGTGTCAAATACAATTTTTTTCATATTTATAGAATAATCTCCTTTTAAAATTTCTTTAAGGGACCAAAATTTTTTCCATGTTATGTTACATCTTCTTCCTATTTCTTCTTCGTTGTTTATTTTGTTAAATGATACTTGTTTACCCAAATATATGTACTTATCTACGTATTCTATGTTGTTTTCCCTTCTTTTAATTGGTATTTTTAAGCTGTTGGTCATTATTTTAGTTTTTGTAGTATTCATTTCTAAGCCTACTTTGAAACTTTCCTGATCTAGAGTATATATCAAATTCTCCAATTCTTTAGCTGTCTCAGCCAGTACAACAATATCATCTGCGAATCTAAGATGGCTTAAATAGCACCTATTTATTTTTATACCCTTATTTTTCCACTTTAGGTTTTGGAAAATATTTTCTAATACAGCAATAAATAATTTAGGTAATAAAGGATCCCCCTGTCTAACTCCTCTTTCTATTTTTATTTTACTTCCTTTAGTTTCTAGTTTAACTTGACTATAATTATTTGAGTATATGTATATTAAAATATTTATGTATTTTTGATCTACATTAAATTGTTTCAGGGCAGTCCATAAAGAATTATGGCTAATGCTATCAAAGGCTTTATTATAATCTATAAATGCTAGGTATAAAGGTCTATTAAATTCATTGTATTTTTCTATTACTTGTTCTAATGTTTGTATATGGTCTATTGTGCTAAATCCTGAACGAAAACCGGCTTGTTCTATCGGTTGTGCTCTATCAATTTCTTTTGTTATTCGTCTTAATATTATAGATGAGAAGAGTTTGTATATACTCACAAGTAAGCTAATTGGCCTATAATTTGCTATATCTAATGGATTGCCCTTTTTATACAATAATACGATATCTGACATACACCATTGTTTTGGTACTATTTCAGTATCTAATATCATGTTGAAAAGCTGTGTAAGGTATTTAAGTAGAACAGGTGTGCTAATTTTCACAATTTCATTGCTTATTCTGTCTAGATCAGGGTTTTTATCAGATTTTAGTTGTTTTATTCTTTCATATATTTCATTTTCGTGTATTACATCGATAGTTTTTATTTTACTAGTGCACTTTATTTCTTGTTCTACTTTAAATTCTTCGTCCTTTTTTGTATAAAGTTCCTTATAAAAATTTGTTGCTTGGACTAATATATCGTCTCTGGATACTATTGTATTGGATTTGTTACCTAGCCTTTGTATCCATGTATTATGCAGGTTTAGTTCTTTAAAAGCTCGTTTAGTGCTTTTATATTTTTTTAAATTTTTCTTAATTATTTTTTGTCTATAATCACTATAGTCTTTCCTAATTGACTTTTTTGTTTCTTTATACAGTTGGCTTAATTCTACTTTCATGTCTTTTGTTTTATTTTTTGTAAATGCCAATTCTGTTCTTCGTTTTATTAGGGACTTGGAATTTTCACTGAATATTTTATTTCTGTTCTCTTTAACTCTACTATTTGTATTGATCGTTGAACTATATAATATTGCTTTTTCTATTACATCATAGTAATTTTGGACATTTGTGATTCCTTCTATTTTTGCTTCAATACGAGAATTCAGACAGTTCCTGAAATTTGTTATCTCCATTTCTGTTTCGGGATCCTTGGTATATTATTAAATTTAATTCTGCTTTTTTTCGGTAATATTAATTGTAAAGTTGTTCTTACAAGTCTGTGATCAGATGGAAATTCTATATTATTTATAACTTCGCAATCAGTTACTAGTTTTGGCATATTCGTCAATATAAAATCTATTTCATTTTTTACTTTTTCATCTGGTGATTGCCAAGTCCATTTTTTGGACGGTTTTTTCTTAAAAAATGTATTTGTTATCGATAGTTTATATTCGAGAGCATATTCTATTAGTCGTTCGCCTTGTTTATTTCTTTTTCCGTATCCATATTTGCCCATAATGATGTTTTCTTCTTTCTTAGGATATCCTATTTTAGCATTAAAGTCTGCGATTACAATCAGTTTGTTATTAGTTAAAGTATGTGCTTTCTCAAGTTCTTTATAAAATTTTTCAATTTCTATTTCTGTACTACTCTCTGTTGGTGCATATACCTGAATTATTGATATATTCCAATCTTCGAATTTTAATTGAAGTAGCGCTATTCTTTCAGAGACACCAGTAAAACTAACTATGTTGTTTTTCAATGATTTCTTTATTAAAAATCCAACTCCATATAAACCTTTTGATTGTCCAATATAACATAAAATATAATCTTGGTATTCTTCAATATTACAACCCATTTTTCTAACTTCAGATAGCCCTATTATATCAAAGTTTATATTTCTGAGAGCATAGAAAAAAATAACAAACAATAAATTATTCCTTAATTATTCTATAGGTATATAAAATTACTATTTTAGATATGGCCCTTATATGAGTTTTTCGGTCAGCAGTCCTCACTTCAACAGTACGGACTTAGGGGGATTTTGCAGTTGCAGTTGCCCCGCTTGGCAGGCGGATGGGAACAGCAGTTAGTAGTTTAAATTACTACAGATATATTTGAAAATATGAAAATTATATTCCAATAATTATATTCATATTTCAAAATGTGTTTAATAATTTATTGAAATATAGCTACTTTTAAACTTTCATGTTGTTTACACCTATTTTATTAAAATCACGATTGGGACTTACGTATTACGATTATAGTTAAATAGGACCTACATACCTAATTTTTATTGACGACGTCCTTGGAAAATTATTTAAAATTTTGCAAACTAAAAAAATATTAACTTTATTTATTTTATAGCATACTTTAACGATAGACAATTTGATTTATTGCCGATTGCTGAACGTAGACCTCACCTTTAAGAAAGTAAGGCTTTGGTGATGTTTTAAAGAGGGACGCTGTTGCCCATTTCTAGACCATTAGATTTCCTTAGCCGCCTATTAAGACACCCACGGGGATAAAAACGGTGGCCAATTCTATGTCGGGACAACACAGTTAATTTGATTGATTGATATGACGACTGCTAATATGCTATTTAATGAGTTTTCATTTATAGTACACTAGTCGTTCACACGACTATGTCTGCATAACTGGGATAGATTGATTGCCACTATACTAAATTTTGTGACGTTAAGTTGAGCATTAGTCAAAACGTCCAAAGGAGACAGACAAATAAAAAAATGTCTTATTTATATATGTAAATATATATTAATAAAAAAATTGCGTATAACTTGTATATTATATAATAAAAAAAATATTGAAATGTACCTTTTGTTCATTTTTTTGGTGCCTACTTATAATTTTTATTTACTTATAATCTTTTATTTACTTCAAATAAAGGATTCAAATGTTTTAGGGAAAAGGACAATGGTTATGTGGGGGTACAGTCCAGAATACCTAGGTCTGTGACAATTAGGAAGGATTTCTTTTAATGGACCTGATAAGAGTTGAACCCGAAACGTCACTG